AAAAATTATTATAGTCAATCAGAGAAGGTAGCATTACTATGTAATGAGATTACTTAATTAATTTTAGAGCGTGATGAGAGAGCAAGGCAGACCGAGGGAGCGAGGCAGACCGAGGGAGCGAGGCAGACCGAGGGAGCGAGGCAGCGAACGACGAAGATCATGGGACCAGCACAGAGCACAGAGCGAGGGTCGAAGAAGCACCAGAAGGTATAACGGAGCAGCTAGTTGGAATAGAGGCCGCTAGAGACAAGGGTATGAAGGTGGATACGATCGAGCCCTTTACAACCAAGCAACAGTGTTTTTCTTCACCAACTTTCCAGATGGCTGGACCTATGAACAAATGTTGAGGACCTTTCTCAAGTTCGGACGTGTATTTGCCATATATAGCCCCCAGAGAAAGAACAAGGAAGGAAGCAGGTTTGGGTTTGTGCGCTTCCTGGACGTCAAGGATGAGAGGAGCTTAGGGAGACAGTTAGATCAGATCTGGATTGGCAACCAAAAGCTCAAAATCGACCCTCCTCGTTTTAACACTCAAATAACACCGGTACACCCCAAACACCATACCAACACTGCAGGGAACCCAAAACCAAGCTACGCGGAGGTAGTGAAAGGCATTGGAAGTAGAGGCAACGACTGGACAGCCGATAGAGGTATCAAACCTGTCCAACACGGGTTCACAAACAACAGTGGCAAAACAAAACAAAAATGGGTAGAGAAGCGGAGGGAATTGCATTGGACTGGACTTGAGTTCAACCCGAGGCATGAAGACTGGGAATGGCTTGAGGGATGCTTTGTTGGAACAGCCAGATCAGTAGAGATTGTGCCCATACTTCAAGAAAGACTATACATGGAGGGGCTTTTCTCAATCAAGCTTCGAGCAATGGGTGGGAAACTTGTCCTTATGAACTGTGAAGATAAAGAGGAATTGAAAGAACTGGTTGAGTCAACAAAAGATTGGCTGGGGCAGTGGTTTGTCGACATTAAGCGTTGGACCCCCCAGATGGTTGCCACAGAGAGATTTGTTTGGCTGAATTGCTATGGAGTCCCTCTTCATGCATGGGGTCCTGACTTCTTCATCTCAATTGCAAATCTATGGGGGAATTTTATCACCCTAGACGAAAGCACTAGCTCTAAAAAGAGGTTTGATGTTGCAAGGTTTTTGATTTCCACATCAGAAACAGGCCTAATCTCTAAAACTCTTACTTACAAAATTAACGGCCACATGTACTACATAAAGTGCAAAGAGGAAGAGACAACAAATTGGTGCTTCTCTTTAAAAGCAGACTTCCAACCAATGTCCCCATCAAACTCTGAAGAAGATTGCAGTGAATCTTGCTCCTCCGACAATCCGTCCGATGACACTCAAAGATTTGGCCAGAATGGAGTTGTAATATCCCAAATTTTTGGGAATATTTAAGTGTAAGTTAGGGACTTGATTGTGAGAAAAGATTGTTTTGGGGCCTAATGTGAATATTTCAAAA